CCGTGCACACCTCTGGCGTCTAGAGGACATGCTGTCGTGCTGCTGCCCCTGTCCCTGACCCCCATATGTGGGAGATCCCCCCCCCGCCCCCACACTCCCCCACACCCCGTGTCAGCCTCTTGTCCATGGCGCGTCCCGTGGTGTCTGACAGGTCGCAGCGCCCCAGGATCACGGAGCAGCCCCATGCCAGGGACAGCAGCAGCACGGTGGAGCCCGCCAGGGTGCCTTGGGGTGGTGGTGGTGGTAGTGGTGGGGATGGCAAGTCCGCGCGTGCGTGTGTGTGTGTATGTATGTGTGTATGTGTGTGTGAAAGTGTGTGCATGCGTTCTGAGAGGGCGGCTTGAGTGGCATCAAGAGAGAAACGCCTAGGGATCTTAGGCTGACATGCACCCTCGCCTTTGCCCTCACGCCCGCATGCAAGCACGCGTGACGGATGGCAGGCCGCGCTTCCGCCCACAAGCAAGCTTTGGTCGCGTGGATGTTTAGCCCCCACCATCCCTGGTCCAGCCCCCTTGAGGGGTCCCACGCACCCATCCCCACTGCCAGCTGCTCTGCTGCCATGTCGCGGCTGCCCTTGAGGCCGCTGTTGAGCACGATCAGCGCATCAGGCAGCGCCCCCAGGCAAGGCAGCAGCACGCCGCCGATGATGCCCGGGTTGAGGACCTGGGGACGGAGCGTGGGGTGAGCGGTGTGGGGTGAAGGGTATGGGTGAAGGGTATGGGGTGAAGGGTATGGGGTGAAGGGTATGGGGTGAAGGGCAACGGCTGCGGCGTGCAGGGTGCGGGGTATGGGGAGAGCAGCGTTGTTTGGGGGTTGAGATGGAGGTGGCAGGGTGGGGATAGTTGCAGGTGAAGTGAGCTGAGGTGACGGTATGGGGTGGGGTGGGGGATCCATGATATGATTGACAGAACATGACCAGGTTGGCGTGCCTGGACGAGATTGTGTGATTTTTGTGGATTGCCAGTCCTTGCAAGGTGACGTGCCGAGTGCACACTCTGGTGCCATAGACATCCTGGGGATATTGCTTCCTGTAACGCCTCTTGCCCCACCGCCGCTGAACATGGGGCTGACCTCCAGCAGCAGCTCGCTGCCCTCTGACAGCAGCACCGCCCCCTGCAGCAGGATGTAGCCTGGCAAAAGCGCAGGGCCAGGGGGAAGGGGGGCAATGCCACAGTGGGCTGCTGTGCGGGTGCCTCTCGCCATTCCTCACCCTCTGCAGCGCAGTATACCAAGAGGTTCACCCGCAAGCCCCCAGTGCCAGCATCCATCAAGCAGCAGCCTCTGTGCTGGGCCCCTGCCCTCCACCGCCCTGCTCACCGTAGACCACAGTCTCCAGGAGCGCCCCCACCACGCTCTCACCACTGGTGCCCACGAGGCCCCCCAGCACCACGCTGGGCGCGGCCGTCAGCGCTACGCCCAGCGTCAGCGCCGCCGCGGGCACCAGCTGCGACAGGAGCTCACGCCCCGGGCCCTCAGCCTCAGCAGGGGCCGCCGTGGCACCGGGCAGGGGGCGGAAGGCCGGCGCGCTGGAGCCCGGTTCCAGCACCGCCATCAGCTGGGCTGGCCCGTTGGTGGGGGCCTTGACGCGGGCGGCATTGCGGGGCAGCAGGGCGTTGCGGGGCTCACGCAACCCGCAGGCGGTACGATTGGCAGGCATGACTCAAAATGGCATACGTGGTGGTTCAAACCTGGCCATCGGCGAGTGCAGCGGGCATGACCTCTTCCCTCGACTCTCCGGCCCGACGCACCTTTCCGGCTTTGGCGCCACCGACCCACACGGCCGCCTCGGGGCCAAAAGCGAGCGCCGCCACCATCGCCGCTGCCGCCCCCGCGCGCGCCTCGCCCTCCAGCCGCCCCATTACCACCACATCCCCCGCCGCGTCGACCACGCAGCCGCGCGGCACGTCCCCCAGGATCACCACGCTGCCGCCGTCGTGACGCACCGCCTGGCCACGGGCCAGCGGGGAGCGCATGTACAGGGTCACACCCTCAGCGGGGCCTGCATGCCGCGGCTCATCCTGTGTTGGCGCGGGCACTGCTGCTGCGGAGGGATCGGCTGCGGCGTGGCGCCTGGCGCGAGCTGCGCGGGTGTGCCGCTGCCCTGCGGCACCCAGAAGACGATCAGCGCCCGTTCGCCGGGCACGGATCAGGCCGGCATGTATGTGCGGCGCGATGGCACCATTCGAACAGGCGCGCTGTGGCTTGGCCGCGCAGCCAAGCATCTATGCGAACGTATGTCGTCGGATTGTTGAAGAACGCTGCGGATCTCGCAAGTCGGTATATATTGCTTCGACACTACAGCGTACAGTATGTCTAGCACGATGGATATCATACGAGCAGATGTCTTTGATTGGCATGCGCCTTGAGACGGACGGTGTGCCACGGCGCCACACCGGTCACTGCGAAAAGCACACCCGTCACTGCGAAAAGCAGTTGGCAGCCCATGGGCATGCACCGCCACAATGTGTTGGTGGAACAAGGCCGGTACATGACTGGCTTCATATCTGATTTGCGTCTTGGTGACGCTCAGCGCAAACGGTGTGTAGTGTATGGGCTCACACCCGTTCGCTGACTTGTGATGTCGAGAGTGGCCTGGTGATCTTGACGCTGCCAAGAACTGTGCAGCAGAGTATCCAGCAAGAGCCATGTCTGTCTGTCTGCCCTCCAATTTAAACAAGGTCGACTTACAGTTGAGCAAGCCAGCCGTGTGCGCATGCAATGTGACGCACATTCAGCGGCCTACGCTGCGCGCCGCGGCCGCCCGCAGCTCAGCGAACGCGCTTTCAATGCAGCGCTGGGAGCACATGAGGGGAGGGAGGGCGCATGAAACGGTTGTTGACAGTTGAAGGCGCAAGCCATGAGCGCCCCGCTTGGGACAGCATGCGGGGAGGGATGTGTAGCGCACCATCTCGTGACACCAGCCGCGCGGCTCTGGGCAGAGCCCCGACTCCGCCCGGCACCCTGCCGCCCTCACCCCTCACCCTCACCTTGATGTCAGCGTATGAGGCCACGAGCATTGACTGCTCGTCGCGCGACATCAGCAGCACCTGCTCCTGCACGCCCGCGTCAAGCTGCGGGGCGATAGACGCGGCAGTGCAGGCCAACCTCATGCATTTGCCCGGGGCCACGCAGCTCAAGAAGAGCGAGTGCAGGAGCGAGAATGGGGCTCTGCGCACATCAGGTAGAGGAAGCTGCAGTTGCCGCGTTAATTGTGCCGGGGGTTCTCGCCCCGTGTAAGGC